TACTGATGGATATTTAGGTTGGTTCTTTTTCCTTGCTACTGGGAAAACAGCAAAAATAAACATGGTTATACAAGTATTCTGTCTTAGGATATGGAATTCCTTGGTATGTTCCAGCCAGATCATATGAAATTATTGAGGAGCCAGAGTCTGGGGCATGGAGGAAGAAGAGTATAGTATGGGATCAACCAGAATTTAGTGTGTATGAAAATACCACTTTCTATGCTAATTAACATTTTAAAAGAGACATATTCTATCCAAAAATCTTTAGTGTCATCAGATCATGTACCATTAGGCTTTGAAGTTTCTCTGTGTGTAGAATATTTAAGCTTGCAATTTCTAGAGGCTTGGGAACGAGCCAGCTTTCTGACTTTATGTATGGCTTATAAACACATGGTGCTCCACCTTTCTGGTGAGCTAGCACACAGCAGCTTCAGTGTAGGCGCGTGGGCACAATAGTATGTATGTTACACCCTGTGGAAAAGTGACAGGACACACTGGCTCCACAAAGGGTTCTGAGACAATGACTCCAGCAAACTGGCAAGTGCAGACTTCACATCCCAGCACATGCTGCAGTGTACATGCAGCTCTAGGTGAGGATACCAACAGCAGCAGTGTCTGAACGCCTGTCAGAGATATAAACTCTTTGATATCACCATTGATTCACTAACTTTGAATCTCTGGGAGTAGGGCTAGCAATTTGTATTTTAACAAGCCCTTCAGAGGATTCCTTTCAAGCACTATGAAGCTTTAAAAGCAGAAAGCTTTGGGGAAGCAACTGTGAGTAGCATGACTCCAGGGCCTTCAGAAGGTGGCCTTCAGAAAATCAGCTCCAGCTGATTTTCACATGTTTGCCTAAGCAAATGGAGTTTTGGCATGAAAAGAAAAAAATAGCATTTTTGTCAGTGTGTCTCTGGGTTTGGCAAAAGTTTTTTTTTCTTTTTAATGATTGCTATCCACTCTCCATTTTCTTTCCTTCTAACACCTATCAATCACTCATCTTCTCTCTGAACATGAATTTGATTATTTTAGAAACCTGTTATTATGTGGAATCATTCATTATTTGTCCTTCTGTGACTGGCTTAATATGTTATTAATATAATTAATGTAATATAATTAATATAAGTCCTCTATGTTCATCCTTGTTCTATACTGAGAAACTCTCTTTTAACGCTGGTCTATATACTGGATTTTCTTTTCTTCTCAACAATGATAAAGCTCCAGTTAAGCCAAATGAGTGAGTTCCTGACATCTCCTTACTTATAGTTAGCAGTATTAAACTGTACACTTTACAATTCTATGTAGTACAAAAACTTCTGTAAAACAGTGTCTTCTGGATGTGACACAGCCATTACGTTCATGATCTCACAGTAACTGTATTTGCCTACACTAGACCTGCAAAAGATCAGGCCAGTCAAAATTCTAGCAAGGACTGGCTGCAAAGATGGAGGTTCCTCCAATAAATATCTTTGGCTCCAGGACCCCTCAGTGGTTTTGTCTCCAGGACCACCCTGAAAGCCAAGATGTTTCCACCTTCCCCTTCTCGTCCAATATCACAAATGCATCCTTCTGGTCTCCTTGACACCCTGCTAATTTTCTTACTATAATTCTCTTTAACAAATTCCTTTTGTGTTTTTTTAATGTACATTTTCTTTATCTGTTCTTTCGCTGAGGAATGTCTAGGTTGTTTCCAGTTTCTGGCTATTACCAAAGCTGCTATGAACATAGTTGAGCAAGTGTCTTTGTAATATGATAGAGCATCTTCTGGGTTTATGCCAAGGAGTGATATAGTTGGGTCTTGAGGTAGATCTATCCCCAGATTTCTGAGAAACTGCCAGATTGATTTCCAAAATGGCTGTATACATTTGCATTCCCTCCAGCAATGAAGGAGCATTTCCTCTGGTCCACATCCTCCCCAGCAACCTGTCACTTGAGTTTTTGATCTTAGACATTCTGACAGGTGTGGAATAGCATTTCAAAATCACTTTGATTTGCATTTCCCAGATGAATAAGGATGTTGAACATTTCCTTAAGTGCTTCTCAGACATTACAGATTCCTCTGTTGAGAATTCCCTGTTTAGATCTGTATCCCAGTTTTTATTTTATTAAAGTTATTTATTCATCTTACAATTCTGATTACAGCTCTATCCTTCCTATCCACTCAGTTCTACCCTCCTGCCCTCCTCTTCTTCCCTCTTCCCCTTCTCCTCTGAAAAGGAGAGACCCCCTTCCCACTACAAACCCACTCTGACACATGAAAGTCCCATCAGGAATGAGCACATGCTCTGCCACTGAGGCCATACAAGGCAGCCCAGTGAAGGGAAAGTAATCCAAAAGCAGGCAACAAGTCCATGTCAGAGACAATCCCTGCTACACTTTTGCTAGGGAACCCACATGAAAAGCAAACTGCACATTAGTTACATATGTGTCGGGGGCCTGGGTCCAGTTCATGCATGTTCTTTGGTTGCTGTTTTAGTCTATTAAGCCCCAAAGGCCTAGGTTAGTTGACTCTGTTGGTCTTCTTGAGGAGTTCTTGTCCCTGCCAGGACCTTCTATCCTTTCACCCACTCTTCCACAAAACTCCCCTAGCTCTGCCTAATGTTTGGCTATGGGTCTAAGCATCTGTTTTGATCTGCTGCTGGGTGGAGCCTATCAGAGGACAGTTATGTTAGGCACCTGTTTGCAAACATATTAATAGTATCAGGGGTTGGCTTTCTCCTAAGGGGAGAGGACACGCATTGGCTAGTCATTCCGTCAGTCTCTGCTCCATTTTTATCCCTGCTCATCTTGTAGGAAGGGTAAATTTTGAGTCAAAGACTTTGTGGGCTGGTTGATGTCCTAACTCCACTGCCATGTCCACAGTCCTGCCATGCTCAGAGGAGGCCTTTTCGGTCTCCCTGCCCCCCAACAGCTAGAACTCTTAGCTTGAGTCACCCCCATATCCTCCAAGTAACCTACCCAGTAGAAGATATCTAGCTTGTTTCAGAGATGCCTCACCCCCTCTGTTTTCCTTCTCTCCCAGAGCCCTCTCATGGCTCAGCTCTCATCTGATCCCCACCCTTATTCTTCTCCCCACACCCTCTGTCACACAGTTCTCGCTCTTCACCCAATTTCGATGTCTATTCTATTTCCCCATTCTGAGTGGGATTTTCCCTGGGGTCCTCCTTGTTACTTAGTTTCTTCGGGTCAACAGATTTTAGTATCTTTATCTTGTACTGTATGGTCAATATCCACTTGTAAGTGAATACATACCATGAATGTCTTCCTGGATCTCAGAATGTTCTTTTCTAGTTCCACTCATTTGCCTGTAAATTGCATGATGACCTTGTTTTCAGTAGTGAACAGTATTCTATTGTGTAAATGTACAACATTTCTTCATCCATTCTTTGGTTGAGGGCTATCTAGGTTGTTTCCAGTTTGGGCTTATTAATAATAAAGCTGCCTCGAACATAGTTGAGCAAGTGTCCTTGTAGTATGGTGGAGCATCTTATTCCCAAGAGTGGTATAACTGGGTCTTTAGGTAGATATATCTATTCCCAATTTTTTGGAAATCTCAGATTGATTTCCAAAGTGGTTGTACAAGTTTGCACTCCCACCAGCAATGGAGAAGTGTTCTCCTTGTTCCATATCCTCTTCAGTATGTGCTGTAACTTCAGTTGTTTTTTTTTTTTTTATCTTAGTCATTCTGACAGATGTAAGATGGAATCTGAGTCATTTGATTGACATTTCCCTGATGACTAAGGACACTGAGCATTCCTTCAAGTACTTGTTGGCCACTAGAGATTCCTGCTAACATTCTCTCTTTAGCTCTATACCTCATATTTTAATTGAATTATTTGGTTTGTTGGGTTTTTTTTCTTGAATTCTTTATATATTTTGGATATTTGCACTCTGTGCGATGTAGGGTTGGTGAACATCTTTTCCAAATCTGTAGACTGCCTTTAACAGTGTCCTTTGCTCTGCAAAAGCTTTTCAGTTTCATGAAGTCCCATTTATCAGTTGGTGTTCTTAGTGCCTGAGCTGCTGTTCCAGAACTTATCTTTTTTTTCCATTTATTTTTTTTAATATTAGTTACAGTTTATTAACTTTGTATCCCTGCTGTATCCTGCTCCGTCTTTCTCTCCCAATCCCACCCTCCCTCCCTCATCTCCTCCCTGCCCCTTTCCAAGTCCACTGATAGGGGAGGACCTCCTCCCCTTTCATCTGATACTGGTTTATCAGGTATCTTCAGGACTGGCTGCAAAGTCCTCCTATGTGGCCTAGCAGGGCTGCTCCTCCCTTGGGAGGTGGGGGCAGAGGAGGTTGAATTGCCCACCATTGAGTTCATGTCAGAAACAGTCCCTGTTCCCCGCATTAGGGTACCCACTTGGATACTGAGCTACCATGGGCTACCATCTGAGCAGAGGTTCTAGGTTATATCCATACATGGTCTTTGTTTGGAGAAACAGTCTCATAGAAGACCCCTGTGCCCAGATATATTTGGTCCTCGTGGAGCTGCTGTACTCTCTAGGTCATATTAACTCCCCCTTTTTTATGATTCCCTTCGCTCTGCCAAAGGTTTGGTTATGAGTCTTAATATCTGCTTTGATACACTACTAGGTAAAGTCTTTCAGAGGCCCTCTGTGGCAGGCTCCTGTCCTGTTACTTGTTTGCTCCTATATCCAATGTCCATTTCATTTGTCTTTCTAAGAGAGGATTGATCATCTTACCCTGGGTCCTCTTTCTTGTTTATCTTCTTTAGGTGTATAGATTTCAGTATGTTTATCATATCTTAAGGTCTATATAAGTGAGTATATACCATATGTGTCTTTCTGCTTTTGTGATACCTCACTCAGAATGATCTTTTCTAGATCCCACCATTTGCCTGCAAATTTCATGATTTTCTTGTTTTTAATTGCTGAGTAGCATTCCATTGTGTAAAAGTGCCACAATTTCTGTATCCATTCCTCAACTGAGAGACATCTTCAGTAACTTTATTTTCAGTTACTGGCTAAAATAAGGCTAAAAATATGGAACGCCTCATGAATTTGTTTGTCATCCTTGTGCAGGGGCCATGCTAATCTTCTCTGTATCGTTCCAATTTTAGGACATATGTGCTGTTGAAGTGAGCACTCTGGAACTTATCTTCTGTGCCAATGATTTCAAGGCTATTCCCCACTTTTACTTCTATTAGACTTAGTGCATTTGTCTTTACAATGAGGTCCTTGGTTTACTTGTACTTGAATTTTCTTCAGGGTGTTAATTATGGATCTATTTGCATTCATCTACATGCAGACATCCAGTTAGAGCAGCACCATTTGTTAAAGATGATGTCTTTTTTTTCTATTGCATGGTTTTGGCTTCTTTATCACAGATCAAGGGTCTATGGGTGTGTGGGTTTATTTCTGGGTCCTTGATTAGTTTCCATTGATCTACCTGTCTATTTCTATGCCAATACTGTGCAGTTTTTATTACTATTGCTCTATAGTACAGCTTGAAATTAGAGATGGTAATACCTTCAGAAGGATTGTTTTAGTTATTCTGGTTTTTTTTTTCCATATGAAGTTGAGAATTGCTCTTTCAAGACCTGTAAAGAAGCATGTTGATATTTTGATGGGAATTGCACTGAATCTGTAGATTGCTTTTGGTAAGATAATTATTTTTACTATATTAATCCTACCGATCCTTAAGCATGGGTGATCTTTCCATTTTTGGATACATTATTCAATTTCTTTCTTCAGAGACTTGAAGTTCTGGTCATACAGGTTTCTGACTGGTTTGGTAAGAGTTACACCAATATATTTTTTAATTATTTGTGGCTATTGTGAAGCAGTGTTGTTTCCCTAATTTTTTGTCTCAGCCCATTTATTGTTTGTAGACAGGGGGCTACTAATTTTTTGGAGTTAATTTGTATCCAGGTACTTTGTTAACTGTGTTTTTCAGCTGTAGGAGTTCTCTGGTAGAATTTGGGGGTAACTTACGTATACTATCATATCATTTGTAAATAGTAATACTTTGACTTCTTAAGTATGTGCCTTGTATTAGCGATCTCTCCAAGACTTTAGAAATGAAGGATTGTTAGATTTTGTCAAATGATTTTTCAGCATGTAATGAGATGATCATGTAGTTTTTCTTCTTTCAGTTTGTTTACATGGTTAATTATGTTGATGAATATTCATATATTGCATCATAACTGCATCCTTAGGATGAAGCCTACTTGGTCATGGTGGATGATGTTTTTGATGTATTATTGGATTCAGTTTTTGAGTATTTTATTGAATATTTTTGCATCAATGCTCATAAAAGGAATTAGTCTGAAATTCTCTTTCTTTGTTAGGTTTTTGTGTGGTTTAGGTATCAGGGTGACTGGCTCCATAGAATGAGTTTGACAATGTTCCTTCTCTTTCTATTTTATGGACTAGTTTGAGGAATATTGGTATTAGCTCTTCTTTGAAAGTCTAGTATAATTCTGCACTAAAACCGTTTGGCCCAGGACTTCTTTTGGGTGGGAGACTTTATCCCTTAGGGGATAATTTAATTTGTTTACCTGATCTTGATTTAACTTTGATAAGAGGAATCTATCAATAAAACTGTCCATTTTGTTTATATTTTCCAATTTTGTAGAGTGCAGGTTTTTGAGGTAAGACCTAATGAATCTTTTGATTTTCTCAATGTCTCTTGTAATTTTTTTTTCATTTCTGATTTTGTGAATTTGTATATTGTACCTCTACCTTTTGGTTAGTTTGATTAAGGGTTTCTCTATCTTGTTGATTTCTTCAAGAACCAACTCTTGGTTTCATCAATTCTTTGTATTGTTCGCTCTGTTTTTAATTTGATTTCAGCCCTGGGTTTTATTATTTCCTACCACCAAGCTGTCATAAGTGTGTTTGCTTCTCTTTGTTCTAAATCTTTCAGATGTGCTAATATGGGATCGTTCCAATTTATTTATGAAGGCACTTATCGCTATGAACTTTCCTCTTAGCACTACTTTCATTGTGTCCCATAAGTTTGGATATGTTGTACTTTCTTTTTCATTGAATTTTAGTTAAGTTTTTAATTTCTTTCTTTATTTATTCTTTGACCTAGTGGTGGAAGGTTGAATACAGAGCGGATGAGTTCTCAAGAGTTCATGGGCTTTTTTTTTTTACAGTTTTCATGAGTATATAGGCTATTTGTTGTTTCTGTTGTTGAAGATCAACTTTAATCCATGGTGATATAATAAATTACAAGCGATTATTTTAATTTTCTTGTATTAGGTAGGCTTACTTTGTGACTGACTAAATGGTCAATTATGGAGAAGGTTCCATGAGGTTCTGAGAAGAATGTATATTATTTTGTCTTTATATATTATTTACAGAACTTTGGGTGAAAAGTTCTGTAGATATCTGTTAGGTTCATTTGATTCATGACACCTGTTAGTTTCATTATTTCTCTGCTTAGTTTCTGTCTTGATGACCAGTCCATTGGTGAAAGCGTGGGGTTAAAATCGCCTACTTTAATATGTGGGAATATATGTGTTATTTATGCCTTAGTAATGTTTCTTTTAAAAATGTAGGCACCTTTGCATTTGGGGCATAGGTGTCCAGAACTGAGATGTCATCTTTGTAGATTTTTTTCCTTTGACAAAAATGAAGTGTCCTTCCCCACCTCTTTTGATTAATTTTGGTTGAAAATCTATTTTATTAAGTATTAGAATTCCAGCTTACTTCTTGGGATCGTTTTCTTGGAAGACTTTTTTCCAGCCCTTTACTCTAAGGTAATGTCTATCTTTTGTTGCTGAGGTGTGTTTCTTGTATGCAGCAGAATGATAAATCCTGTTTTTGTATCCATTCTGTTAGTTTGTGTCTTTTTATTAAGGAATTGATTCCATTGATATTGCCCTATAATAATGACCAATCATTGTTAGTTTGTGTTATTTTGGTGTTGGTGGTGATAGTGTGTACGTGTGCATCGCTTTTTATGGTTTTGCTGCAGTGGAGGTTTTTATTTCCTGTGTTTTCTTTGGTGCTGTTAACCTCCTTTCATTGGAGTTTTTCTTCTACTATATTTGGTAGAGTTGGACTTGTGCACAGATATTGTTTAAATGTGGTTTTGTCATGTTATACCTTGCTTTCTCCATCTATTATGTTTAAATGTTAGCAGTCTGGGTCAACATCTCTGGTTTCTTAGGATCTGAAATATGTATGGCCAGGCCTTTCTGGTTTTTAGAGTAGTCAGGTGTAATTTGGATAGGTCTACCTTTATATGTTACTTGGCTTTTTTCCCTTTCAGCTTTTAATATTCTATCTTTGGTCTATATTTAGTGTTTTGATTACTATATGGCAGGAACATTTTCATTTCTGGTCTAATCTATTTGGTGTTATGTAATGCTCTTGTATGTTTACAGTCATCTTTTTTAAGGTTGAGAGAGTTTCTTCTATGATTTTATTGAAAATATTTTCTGGTCCTTGGAAACAGGAATCGTCTCTTCTTTCTAATCCCATTATTCTTAGATTTCATCTTTTCATAGTCTCCCTGATTTCTTGGGTGTTTTGTGTCAGGAATTTTTTAGATTTAACATTTTGTTTGACGGATGTATTGATTTCTTCAATTGTATCTTCCCTGTCTGAGATTCTTTCTACCATTGCCTGTATTCTGTTGGTGATGATTATGTTTGTAGTTCTTGTTCTCTTCCTTAAGTTTTCCATCCCTAGGGTTCCCTCATTTCGTATTTTCTTTATTGTTTTTATTTTCACTTTCAGATTGGACTATTTTATTCATTTTCTTAACCTGTTTGATTGCATTTTCCTGTATTTCTTTAAGAGATTTATTTTTTTCATCTTTAAAGGCCTCTATTATCATCATAACAATAGGTGTAAGGTTAATTTATTATGTTTAAGCTGTGTTAGGATAGCCAGAGATTGTTGTGGTAGAAGAGCTAGGTTCTGGTGATGCTGTTTTGCCCTGGTTGATTGTGTTATTACACTTGCCTTTAGCCATCTGGTTGTCCGTGGTGTTTGCTGGTTGTTCCTGATACCATCTGTCCTTCTTGCAAAGGTGAGAAAAGCCTTGGGTAGGAGGCTGGATGTTTCTGGGGACCAGCACCCCTTTGAGGAATGCAGGGTAGGGCCATGAGCTGGAGGCTGGATTTCAGGGAAGAGCTAACAGCTGCCCTCTGATGACTGTGTTCCAGTTAGACCCATAGGCAGGGGTTGGGGTGGGCAGTGGGCTCTTGGGTCTAATTCCTATGCTAATATATAGTTCTTGGAGGACCTTGACTAACATACTTAATAGATAATTAATATGTTTATCAAATATGCATACAGTGGATTGTTTATATATACATTAAGAGAAGCTCCCCCCCTTAACAATCACAGTATGGGGCTGGAGAGATAGCTCAGCATTTAAGAGCATTTTCTACCCTTGCAGAAAACCTGAGTTTTGTTGCCATTACCCATATCAGTCAAGCAGCTCACAACTCCCTTTAATTTCAACTCCAGCATATCTGATTATCTCTTCTGTCTCCATAAGTACTGCATACATGTGCATGCGCTCACACCTAGACACACATGCATACACGTTAAAAAATAAATCTTTAAAAATTCACAATAAAAATAATTACATAATTAAAAATAGAGTAATAATATATACTCTCAAATATATACTAAGAAAGACTTGTAGAAATGCAAAGCTTTTGCCTGGTGATGGTGGCACACGCCTTTAATACCAGCACTTGTGAGGCAGAGGCAGGTGGACCTCTGAGTTTGACGCCAGGCTTGTCTACACAGTAAGTTCCAGGACAGACAAGGCTACACAGAGAAACCTTATCTCAAAAAAACAAACAAATACACACAAAAAATGAAAAACAAAAAATTACAAAGATTTATCATAACTTTGGATATTTAAATAATGAATATTTCAAATAATTTTAATAATAAATATTTCAAATTTTATTATATCTATTTAAGACTTTAACATAATCCTGGAAAAGATAATCAAAAAATTTTAACCTAGACTTGTTATTTCAGAGCCTATATGCAAATATTTAAAACACCTAAAGCATTTGACCTAGGCTCTATATACAGTAAATTATTATAACTTTGTTTGTATAGCTAAAGACTGAAAACAATCAATAATAGCTGGTCAAGGAGAAT